GGTCTCGAACTCCTGACCTCAGGTGATCCACCTGCCTTGGCCTTCCAAAGTGCTGGGATTACGGGAGCCACTGTGCCCGGCCAGAGTCAGCTGTTCTTGTCTTCCACTCCCACTCTCCACTCCTCCCCCCCACCCCCCTATGCAATGTGTCTTTTTTCTCAGGCTGTTTTTTTTTTTTTTTTTTTTTGAGACTGTTCTGTTTTTCAGCAATTTGGCTATAGCTTACCTGGGTGTAGTTTATGTTGTGTCTATCTTGCTTGGGGTTAATTGAGCGTCTTGGATCTGTGAGTTGATAATTGAATCAAATTTGGAAAACTTTTTAGCCATCATTTCTTCAAAAAATATTTTCTGTCCTATCTCTTCTTCCTCTCTTTCTTGAACTTCAGTTACATGTATGTTAGACTGCTTGATATTATCTCACAAGTCGCTGAGGTTCTGTTCATGTAAAAATTTTTTCTCTAATTCAGTTTGAACAATTTCAGTTGGACTGTTATAAAATGTATGGTTTTTCCTTCTCAATGCCCAGTCTCTTGTTAAGCACATCCATTGAACTTTTAATTTCAGATATTATATTTTTCCCTTCTAGAATTTCCATTTGGTTCTTTTTTTTTTTTTTTTTTGACAGTTTCTTACTCTGTCACACAGGCTGGAGTGCAGTGGTGCGATCATGGCTCACTGCAGCTTTAACTTCCTGGGCTCAAGTGACCCTCCCACCTCAGCTCCCCAGGTAGCTGGGACTACAGGCATGTGCCACCATGCCTGGCTAATTTTAAAACTTTGTGTAGAAATGGGGTCTCACAGTGTTGCACAGGCTGGTCTTGAACTCCTGGGTGATCTTCCCACCTCAGCCTCCCAAAGTGTTGGGATTACAGGTGTGAGCCACTTGGCCATTTGGTTCTTTTCTGCAATAACTCATCTATTCACACATTGTATCCATCTTTTCCCATAAATCCTTTAACATATTTATAGAGATTTTTAAATTCCTTCTCTAATGATTCTGATAACTGAGTCATTTATGGGTTTATTTCAATTGGCTATTTTTCCTCTTGATTATGTATTACATTTTCCTACTTTGCTATTGCATGTGTTATATTTTTAGAACTGCACTCTGGATCTTGTGTATGAAAAGCAATTATATATAATAAATTTTAGTCTATATATACACACACATACATACACACACTTTATAGAGTATGTAAGCTCCTTCCTCTGTCTAGCGGTTAGGGTTAGGGGCTGATCTTTCAGATTCCTCCTAAAGCTGAATTGAACATGGATTGGGCTGCAGCTTTAATTAAATTGTGTGCACTCCAGTCCAGTCTCCTTCACTGCCATTTTGAGCTTGTTAGTGTTTGAACTAGGTGGGGCTGCAGTGCCCATTATTGTTTAATTTATTTTTATTTTTAGAGACAATGTCTCACTATGTTGCCCAGGCTAGTCTCCAACTCCAGTTTTTCATCTGTCAACATAAAAAAATAGAGACAAATCTCCAGGTAAAAAGGTTTTATTTGGGAATAATATACAAGAAGTAGAACTGCAATCTAGGATGTCCATATAGACTAGGATGGCCCCCAGCATGTCTGAGAACAAAGGAAAAGATTAAGGTTCTCCTGGGGAAAGAGGAGATTTACGTAAGTTGTTTCAAAAGAAAGTTCATTGGTGCTAGCAGGGTTTTTTATGAGAGCTGGCGAGTTCAGTAGCAGATTGGTGAGTGTCAGTAGGTGCTAGGTAGGACTTGGAGTCTTGGAGTTCTTGTTAGGCCCTTGCAGTTTTGGATTGGGCCTGAGAAACAGTGTCAGGCTAGTATTCTTCTGTTAGCTGCTAGCTGCCCTTGTGCTGTTAGCAGTACTTGTGTCTCATGTGGTAAGCTGTGGTTTGGAAAATGTTCTTGTGATGGTTCTTATTATCTGGCAACTCATACATGAGAATCCTCCCTTCATGACCTTCCCTGGCTCTGTTTCTTTACTTTTTTACTTTTTATTTTTTGAGATAGAGTCTCATTCTGTCACCCAGGCTGGATGCAGTGGTGGGATCTCGGCTGACTGCAACCTCTGCCTCCCAAGTTCATGAGATTCTCCTGCCTCAGCCTTCCAAGTAGCTGGGACTACAGGTGTGCACCCCCATGCCCGGCTAAGAGCATGGGGCGGAGGCTGGAGAGCAGTGGCGTGATCTCGGCTCACTGCAGCCTCTGCCTCCCAGGTTCCAACGATTCTCCTGCCTCAGCCTCCTGGGTAGCTGGGATTACAGGCACATGCCACCATACCTGGCTAGAAGCTGGGAAAGGCAAGGAGACAAATTCTCCCATAGAGCCTCCAAAAGGAATGAAGCCCTGCCAACCCATTTCAGTCCCTCTGACTTCTGGGACAGTAAGGTTATTCATGTATTTATTTATGTATTTATGTATTTATTTATTTATTGAGACAGGGTCTCACTCTCTTGCCCAGGCTGGAGTGCAGTGGCACAGTCTCAGCACACTGCAACTTCCACCTCCCGGGTTCAAGTGATTCTCCTGCTTCAGTCTCCCTAGTAGCTGGAATTACAGGCGCCAGCCACTACACCCAGCTAATGTTTGTATTTTTAGTAGGGACGGGGTTTCACCATGTTGGCCAGGTTGGTCTGGGACTCCTGACCTCAGGTGATCCGCCTATCTCGGCCTCCAAGAGTGCTATGATTACAGGCAGGAGCCACTGCGCCCGGCCTAATTTTTTTGTGTTTTTAGTAGAGACGGGATTTCACCAGGTTGGTCAGGCTGGTTTCCAACTCCTGACCTTAAATGATCAAATGATCCGCCCGCCTCGGCCTCCCAAAGGGCTGGGGTTATAGGCGTGAGCCACCTCGCCGGGCCCCCGGCCCTATTTTGCCAGGGTCTGACATAAGTGACTCCATTTTGAATCTGACAACTTTCACATACCACTAATTATAATGTTAGCTCGAGTTTTTTTAGATGCTTTTATCAAGTTGACGAAGTTCCTTTCAGAGTTTTTAAATGAATGAGTGTTTAATTTTTGTCAAATGCCTTTTCTGCATCAATTGATATGATCATGTGATTTCTCCTTTTTAGTATGTTAATGACCTTTTTTTTTTTTTTGAGACAGTCTCTGTCGCCCACACTGGAGTGCAGTGGCGCTATCTCAGCTCACTGCAATCTCTGCCTCCCCAATTCAAGCGGTTCTTCTGCCTCAGCCTCCTGAGTAGCTGGGACTACAGGTGCCCACCACCACACCTGACTAATTTTTGTATTTTTAGTAGAGATGGGATTTCACCATGTTGGCCATTCTGGTCTTGAACTCCTGACCTCAAGTAATCTTCCTGCCTCAGCCTCCCAAAGGGTTGGGATTATAGGCACGAGACACCATGCCTGGCTCATTGATTAATTTTTGAATATTGAACCAGCCTTGCCTGCTGGAATAAACTCTGCTTGGTTATGGTGTATAATCGTTTTTATATATTGCTGAAATCTATTTGATTGCATTCTGTTAAGGATTTTTCCATCTATATTCACAAGGGATATTGGTCTGTGGTTTACTTCTTGTGTACTGTCTTTGGTTTTGATATCAGGTTAATACTAACTTGGCAAAACTGAATTTGGAAATTCTCCCTCTTCTTCTATTTTCTGGAAGAGATTGTGTAGGATTGGTGTTAATCCTTCTTCAAATATTTGGGGAAATTCTACAGTGAAACCATCTGAGCCTGGAGATTTCTTTTTTGGGAGGTTTTGAATTATGAATTCAATTTCCTTAATAGCTATAGAGCTATTCAAATTACCTATTTCATATTGGATGAGTTGTAGTAATTGTGCTTTTTGAGGAATTGGTCCATTTCATCTAAGCTGTCAAATGTAGGTGTGTAGAGCATTTCCTCATTGTGGCTGTGATACCTGCGGGCTCCATAGCAGGAGCCTCTGTTTCGGTCCTCTTATTGGGTAGCTGGGTCTTTCTTTTGTCAGTCTTACTGACAAATAGGCTTGTCGATTTTATGGATCTTTCCAGAGACCTTGCCTTTTATTTTACCGTTTGGCTATACTGTTTTTCTGTTTTCGATTGTATTGATTTCCAACTCTCCTCTAGGCCCTCTTTAACATCACCCCAGAGTGGGAGGGCACCTCATTACTGCCAGGTCGGGGAGGAAGTCCAGGCTCCACACGTGGTCTCCACTGCTCAGTGGGGGTGGAAGCCTCATTACCGCCTGGCAGAGGTGAAAGCCTGGCTATGTCTGTGGCCTTCTCTGACAGCACCGGGCAGGGGTGTTGGGTGCCCTGCTGCAACCTCAGGGGAAGTCTAGACTCCCTACCCAGCCTTTGCTGGCATCACTGGGAGTGGGCCACAGATGTGTTCTTGGGGATCCAGCTGGAGTAGAGTAGTGATGTCCAAGTCTTCTGCCTGGCTAGGCTGCTCCTTTCTTGGTCCTTTGGCTAGAAACGGGGTGCTTTTGTTGAAGCTTTATCGTCTGTGCCCATTGGCATTTCTGGGTTGGTGGCTTTTCATCTCCATATCTGAACTGTATGAGATAAAAATGAAACTCAGGGAATTCACCACCTTGTAGTTCCCGTGGTCCTGAAGTCCCCAGCCAGTCTGCCCTCTTCTCTATCTTTTCGTCTTGTATTTGTTTTATAGATAATATCTTGAGTTTTCAGTTGTATCAGTAGGAGGAATAGGAAAAAGTACATCCGCTTCATCTTCCCAGATGATTGCCAGGAGAGGGCTTTGCAAATACTTATCATTTCATGTAAGGATTAGTCATAGCACATGGAAAGCAACCAGATCATGCCTGGCACGTAGTAGGCTTGGATACAATGATCATTATTTTTCAATGATTCGAAGATGCTATAATTCTCAATTTGATTATGCTAAGTGTTATCGTGCTCTAATGCTAAATTCTAAAATACAGTGTGGAACTTTCCAGGTATGGAACTTGACTTCTCTTCCTCCCACTTTTTTCCTCTCCTTGCGCCACCCTAGGAAAATCATTGATCCTGAGCAAATGTTCATTGCCTTGTCTTGCAGAGAGCAGAGAGCGTCAATCCGGTTCAAGACCACCCTCATGAACACACTCATGGACGTCCTTCGCCACAGGCCAGGATGGGTGGAAGTGAAGGAGTAAGACACTCCCCCCAGCCTTGTCCCTTCTTCCCTTTGTCTCACAGGTCCTTGTCTTCCTTCAGTTTTCTCCTAATTCCCCTGGGTGGCCACTGGGACTTGTCCCAAAGTGGCTGTGATATTTATTTAGCACCCACAATGTGCCAGGCACATTATCGCTATCATCTCTGTCTTATTTAAGCTTTCCAACTAAACCGTAAGATAAGATTATGTTCAGACTTATGAAACCAATTGCTTAAAGTCACACAGCATTGCAAGCGTCAGAGCAGGATTCAAACCCAGGCGCATTTGTGTCCTACGGCTTTCGGTAGAAACTAGGAATGCAGCTACCACAGACCTGTGGCCTGGATCCTCCTGTGATGGGTCCAGATCAAGGACTGCTCTTCCCTGGCCACTTGCTAGTTCTGTGACTTTGGCCCGTAAGCCTGCCTTTCTTCTTTCATGCTGGCCTCTGGGGACACTGATTGAGACAAACCAGCATGTGATGCCTGGCACAGAGTAGGTGCTATTAGTTAGGGCTAAGGATTGGATGTATGCAATGGAAACCCAAAGTAAAAGAGGCTTCGACATGCTAGAAGTTTATCTATCCCATTGAAGTTTATATGTGGGAAGTTCAGAGATGGTAAGGGGGCCCCACAGAAATGTGAGATCCATCTGCTTCTGTCTTTCCACTCTACTATCTCTTAGGTGAAGTCCTTGTTTTTCATAGTCCAAGATGGAGTTCCAGCCTTGCTTTCACATTCCAAACAGCAGGAGGTAGGCAAGAGGCAATAAAAGGCATAAGCCAGGTGCAGTGGCTCACACCTATAATTGCAGCCCTTTGGGAGGCCAAGGCGGGAGGATCGCTTGAGTCCAGGAGTTCAAGACCAGCCTGGGCAACATGGCAAGACCCTGTCTCTACAAAATTTTTTTTAAAAAAGTTAGCCAGGCACGGTGGTGTGTGCCTGTAGTCCCAGCTACTTGGGAGGCTGAGGTGGGAAAATTGCTTGAGTCTAGGAGGTCGAGGCTGCAGTGAGCTGTGATCACACCACTGCACTCCAGCCTGGGTGACAGAGTGAGACCCCGTCCCAAAAGAAAAAAAAAAAGAAAGAAAAAAAGAAAAGGCAAGCCCATCCCTTGAAGGACACAACCCAGGAGTCTCTCACAGCTCACTGGCCAGACCTTAACCATGTGGCCACACCCAGCTACAAGGGAATCTGGAAAATGTAGGTTTTTTTTTTTTTTTTTTGAGACGGAATCTTGCTCTGTTGCCCAGGCTGGAGTGCAGTGGCACAATCTTGGTTCACTGCAAGTTCCATCTCCCAGGTTCACACCATTCTCCTGCCTCAGCCTCCTGAGTAGCTGGGACTACAGGCGCCCGCCACCACGCCCAGCTAATTTTTGGTATTTTTAGTAGAGACGGGGTTTCACCATATTATCCAGGATGGTCTTGATCTCCTGACCTTGTGATCCACCCGCCTCGGCCTCCCAAAGTGCTGGGATTACAGGTGTGAGCCACCACGCCCAGCCGAATCTGGAAAATGTAGTTTTTATTGGGGGAAATACAGGCTACATTTTCTCAAGTAAATGCTGAAAATTCTTTTACTGTAGAGAAAGGGGAGAAGGGATAAGAGGGATAGCTGCCCTGCTGTGTGGTGCTCAGGAAATATGTGCTGCTTACCATTAGCTAAGCCTTCTGGACACTCTGTAGCATTTCGCATGCATGATCTTTTAGTCATCCCAACAAATCTTTCAGGTAGATGTTATCATCATCCCCATTTTACTAATGAGAAAACTGGGCACAAAGTAGTGAAAATGCCATGTTTGAGGTCACTCAGCTTGTGAGGGCTTGGGCTGGGATTTGCATCAATACCTACATGTTGGAAGAAAAAATATATAAAATCTTTTTAATTTTGATTAAGTCCCAAAAAAGTATATATATATACAATTTCGTGTCTTTTAGAATATTCACAAAGTTGTGTAATCATCACCATTTTTTTTTCCCCACGTACCTGCTATGTCAAAACCACGATCTAATTCCAGAACATTTTCATTATCCCAGGAAGAAACCCCATACCCACCAGCAGTCATTCCCATTTCTCCCTCCCTCCAGCCCCTGTCTTGGGCCCTGTCTCTATGTATCTATTCTGGACACATCATGTAAGTGGAATTATACAATATGTAAACTTTTGCCTGTCTTCTTTCACTTAACGTAATGTTTTCAAGGCTTATCCATGTAGCAGTATGTATCAGTACTTCATTCCTTTTTTGTTTCTTGTTTTGTTTTTTTTGAGACAGGGTCTCAGCCTGTGACCCAGGCTGGAGTGCAGTGGCGCAGTCATGACTCACTGCAACCTCAACTTCCTGGGCTCGAGTGATTCTCCTGCTTCAGCCTCCTGAGTAGCTGGGACTTCATTCTCTTTTATGACTGAATAGTATTCTACTGTGAAGGAGTACCACATTTATTTATCTATTCATTAATTGATAGGTGTTTAGGTTATTTCCACCTTTGGGCTGTTATACATAATGCTGCTGTGAACATTCATGTATGAGTTTGAATGGACATGTTTTCACTTTTTGTGGGTATATACATAGGAGACGAGTGACTGGGTGATATAACTCTATGTTTAACTTTTTTAGGAACTGCTAGACTGTTTTCTCAAGTGGCTGTGCCATTTTACATTTCCACCAGGAGTGTATGAGGGTGCCGATTTTTCCACATTCTCACCAACTCTTGTTATTATTAATCCATTTATTTATTTATTTAGAGAAAGGGCCTCTCTCTGTCACCTAGGCTGGAGTGCAGTGGTACAATCACAGCCAACTACAACCTTGACCTCCTGGGCTCAAGTGATCCACCCACCTCAGCTTCCTGAGTGGCTGGAACTATAAGCACACACCACCATACCTTGCTAAATGTTTTAAGTTTTTTTTTGTAGAGATGGGGTCTCATTATGTTACCTAGGCTCATCTTGAACTTCTGGACTTGAGTGATCCTGCTGCCTCTGCCTCCCAAAGTGTTGAGATTATAGGTATAAGCTACCGTACCGACCCTCGCATTTATTATGGCCATCCTAGTGGGTATGAAGTGGTATCATTGTGGTTTTGATTTGCATTTCCCTGATGGCTAACGATTTTTAGCATCTTTTCATGTGCTTATTAGCCATTTATAAATTTTCCTTGAAGAAATATCTATTGCCCATGTTTAAATTTAGTTGTCTCTTTATATTCGAGTTATAAGAATTCTATCTTATAAGGGTATTCTTATATATGATTTGCAAATATTTTCTTCCATTTTGTGAATTATCTTTCCTCTTTCTTTACTGTGTCTTCTGAGGTAAAAACTTTTTCATTTTGATAAAGTCCAATTTAACCTATTTTTTCTTTTGTTCCTTGTGCTTTTGGTATCACATCTAATAAACCATTGTCTAATCCAAGGTCACAAAGATTTACTCCTATGTCTTATTCTAAGAGTTTCATAGTTTTAGCCCTTACATCTAGGTGTTCGATTTAATTTTTTATATGGTGTGAGTTAGGGGTCCAACTTTAATATTTTAAAATACTTACTTTTAAACTTTTTTATTTTGAAATAACTTTAGACCTACAGAAAAGTTTCAAAAATCATACATAGCTTCCTCTTTTAGCAGTTTCACCACCTTTCCCTGTTAGCAGCTTATGTAATCATAGTACATTTGTCAAAGTCAGGATGTTAACACTGATATATTACTGTTAACCAAGCTGCAGACATCATTTGAATTTCACCAGTTTTTTTCCACTAACATCCTTTTTCTGTTCCAGAATCCAATCCAGGATCCCACTTTGCATTTAGTTGACCTTTTTTACCTTAAATATGTTTCAGTTCCTTAGTCTTTGTCTTTCATGCCCTTGACACTTTTGAAGAGTACATTTTGTAGAATGTCCCTTGAATTGGATTTGTCTGATGTTTTCTCATCATGAGGTTATGGATTTTGGCAGGAATATCACGAGAAGTTGGTGCTGTGGCCCATTTCCAGTGGAACTTATTGGGAGTTGTGACTGTCAATGTGCTTAGTTCACGGTGACAGTACCTTGAGGGGGGTGGGAGCAGTTGAGATTAAGGGGGTGGTGGCGTGCGGGTGTTCGGCGGCGAATGAGAGTAGGCTTGGTGAAGAGAAGAGATTGGATTGAGAGAGGTATGCGAGTGGCAGGATACTCTGACACTGTGCAAAGTATTCTTGATTCCAACAAAGGCTTTCATGCACATGGGTTTTAGGCCAGGTTGTTTGTGGAGGTAGATTTCTTTTTTGTTTTTTTTGTTGTTTTTGAGAACCAGAGTGCTCGACTCTGTGCACCTAGGCGGGAGGCTGCGAGGGGGGGCAATCAATGGCTCACTGCGCCGTTGACCCGTCTGGGCGCTCAAGTGATCCTGCACCTCAGCCCCCTGAGTTAGTTGGGGACTACAGCCCATTGCACCATTCCTGCTAATTTTTGTATTTGTTTGTAGAGATGAGGTTGTACCAGTTGGACCCAGGCGTGGGGGGGGGTGGGCCGAACTCCTGGGCTCAGAGTAGGCGGCCCTGCCGTTGACCTGGGGCGCACGTGTGAGTGTGGATTTGGCGAGGAGGCCACGTCGGTGCGGCTGGGCGCTTTGTGTGTGAGGAGTTCTGGCGTGGAGGAGAGGTCTGAAGGGGGTATGTAGGGACGGGTAATTGCAGAAATGGTTGGCCGGCTTACCTCGCCTGTCGGAGTTCCTCGCTACATGGTGTTAGGTGCCCATCTCTCTGTAGAGAAAGTTTTTCGTCTTCCTGCCCCTCTATTTATTAGTTTAGTATCAGTTTGGCGTGTGCAGTCGTATCATCTTGGCCTAGAGGTTACCCCCACACCTAGAGTTGTTTCCCAGATAGAAACTGAGAGGCCCGAGAAGAGGGCAGGGGGGTCGACATAGAAGTTGCTACTGCGCTGGACAAGACCGGGGAGGAATCGAGGGTTCGTTGCGCTCCTGTTTTTCTAGCTCCTGCGCATGTGTGGACAGCTGGACTTTGGGGTAGAAAACATCAGGGGGTGGGGAAAAGGCAGGACTGGGCAGGTCTAGATGAAGCCCCAGCCGGCCAGCCAGGAATCTGCGAGTGCTATGTAGTCTGAGGGGTGTTATAGGAACACGATGGCGCATTTCCTTTCCGGTTTTTTTTTTTTTTTTTTTTGTGAGAGTCGGAGTCTCGACTCTGTCGCCAGGCTGGAGGCAGTGTGCAATCTCGGGCTCGAGTACCAACCCTGCCTCTGGGCAAGCAGTCTCCCTGCACTCAGTCCTCCCGAGGTAGGCTGATTACAGGAAAACTGCCAGCCCCACGCTGGCTATTTTTTTAGTTTTTAGCAGAGACGAGGGTTTCCCATTGTTGGGCCAGGCTGGTCTCAAACTCCTGATCTCAGGGTAGCGGTCCACAGGCGCCTCGGGACGCCTCCCGCAGAAGGTGTGGGTAGGAGGTTACAGCGTGAACCACCGAATGCCAACCAAGGCCACTTCTCCAGTGGGCGTTTTCCGATCAGTCGTGTGAAAGCCATTCTGCAGGACCACGGGTGCCTGGGCACAGCCGAGCAGGGGGAGGTTGGAGAAGGACCAGGGCCGCAGATTTGCATGAGTAACGTGTAGGAGCAAAATTTGGGAAACCACAGAATTGTCTGAGGTGTGCCAGTCATTCTGTGATACCATGTGCTTCACGTCGACCCACATCTGTGCACGGGGTGTTGGGGGTGTACCGATGTCCAGTCTCCGTGGACAGTCGCTGGAGGCGAGTGAAAGGCTGGGCCTGTCTGGGGGCGGCGGGGCTAGCTTTAAAGCGGCGGCTTGGGTGCACATGATGTGACGTTCAGGAGAGAGACACCAAACCAGGCCAGCGCACAAGAGAAGCAATTTAAGAGTATTTTAGTTCTAGGAATGCCAGGCTGGGTGCAGTGCTCACACTTTATAGATTGCCTAGTACTTTGGAGGGAGCCAAGGCGGGCGGGGAGTCACTGAGGGTCAGTGAGTCTCGATTCCAGCCGGGCTGACCGAGATATGGAGAGGAGCCTGTCTCTACTAAGAAATGACAAAATTAGGCCAAGCAAGGTAGGCAATGCCGTCTAATCTCAGGTACTCTGGAGGCTGGAGGAGGAGATCATTTGAACCTGAGGCGGAGGTTGCAGGAGTTGAGATCGTGCCATTGCCACTCCAGGGCACTGGGCGAACAAGAGCGAAATTTCGGTCTCAAGAAAAAAACGAAAGAAAAGAATTCCAAGGAGCTCCATTTACGAAACACAAGGCGTCAACTGGCTTTGCCATGTTTTCAGTTGCTAGATGTGTGTAACAAATCCCAAAATTTAGCTTGTTAAGACAGCATTGCATTAGGCGGGGGCTCCTGGAGTTAGGGACTTCTTACAGACACCCGAAAA